CTTTATGTTGCCATGCACACATCTCAGTTTCCCAGGCGCATTGCGGTACGTATTGTACGGATTGACATTGGTAGTGGAAGTGAGGAACGCCTCGATAGGGCGACATCCATGGGAGGATAGTGCCCAAAACCTTGAGCGCTGCTGGCAGGCAAGCTCAGTTCATACTGGCCGGCTGGCCTTCATCCTGTTCATCCGGATGCTCGTTTGCGAAAAGTTGGGGCCTGGATGGACTTTTGCAACAAGTTGGCCAGATTTGAGCGTCCTGACTGCTCCGGTCGCTATGCCATAGCCATCAGCTGCGTGATTGAACATCCAGTGAGTTCATGCATGTACGCATGGAGCTGCTGCGCATCTTCACTTAGAAGCGACAGCTGCATGCTGAACGTGATGGTAGCGCCGTGCATTTCGATCTGCCTGCTGGGATGGAATCTCGTGACTGGGCCAAGTTTCCCAACCAAGACCAGGATGGCCTCGACCGTCGCAATGCCTTTGGCATATGGAAGAGGCTCCTGTCCTCGTGAGGACGTAGCGCGTTCTTTGATCCATCCCAACTTGGTCATCGTCTCCACCGTGCAGGCTTGGCCAGACGACGATGCTGTGATGCTACTGCGACGACTACCACTAACGCCGCCACCACCACCGCCACCACGACCACGACACCAACCACTACCACTGCGGACTGCTACCATCACTATAACCACGACTGCTACTACGACTGTTACGTGTACGACGACGACGACGGGGCCGACGACGACGACTACAGCTATTGAAATTGCTGCTCCTCCTCCCGATGCTGCTATTGAGGCTTCTGCTGCTGTTGTTGCTTCTGCTGCTCATGCCGCTTCGCTGCTGGTGATGCTGCTCTGCCTCTGGCTCCCACTTCTACTTGCCATACTAGTCTGTCAGAGCCAGCTTGTACTTGCCCAAGGCTCGTCTTGTCGGAGGGCATCTGTCCGTCGGGCTGGATGCCGTGCTCGAGGCAGAAGAGCTCCCAGCAAGCATTGCCGATCTGGACGCCACCCTTCGAGACTTAAGCTTGCGGGTGCTCGAGTTGAACTGAGAACACAACAGGAACTGCTAGCACTACACTGGAAACTGATTCTGCAGGGTATAGCGTGTCTGCAGTTTCACCGGCGCCTGTCCGATGTGGATGCAGATTGCCTCACGCATGGCTGCGAAGCGAAGTTGGGGAGAGCGTCGGAAGTCACCTTGTGATGCAGTAGCACCTACTTCTTCAAGAGCCAACGGCAGCGCCAGAGCGAAGGTCGAACTTCGTGCTTTGAACGGCCCGGCTAAACGACTATGGGACGGCCACAACCATGGGCTTGCCAAAGTATGAACATGTGCCCATGAAATTAAACGTTGGACGTACACAGCCTTCACCCCAAACTGCTGATCCTCTTGGGAATGCCATGGGACATCCTCCGATGATCGTACTAACCATAATAACAAGAAGAATAATGAAGATAATGATACTAACCTTGGGCTTGCCAAAGTATGAACATGTGCCCATGAAATTAAACGTTGGACGTACACAGCCTTCACCCCAAACTGCTGATCCTCTTGGGAATGCCATGGGACATCCTCCGATGATCGTACTAACCATAATAACAAGAAGAATAATGAAGATAATGATACTAATAGCAACAGTATTAATACTAACGATGACAAAAATGACAATACCAACCGTTTTGGAAAACAAGGCTAACAACAACAACAACAACAACAACAACAACAACAACAACAACAACAACAACAACAACAACAACAACAACAACAACAACAACAACAACAAAGCCTTTCGAACTTGGGGGTTTGGGGGTTTTTCGCAAGGAAAAGACGACCTCCGAAGGCCTGAAGATGTTGTAAACGACCCTGTCTTACCTGTTTATGTGGGGGTGTAGGGTTTAGGGTTTAGGGTTTTAGGGTTTAGGGTTTTAGGGTTTGGGGTTTTAGGGTCTAGGGTTTTAGGGTTTAGGGTTTTACGGTTTAGGGTTTTAGGGTTTAGGGTTTTAGGGTTTAGGGGTTTAGGGTTTAGGGTTTTAGGGTTTAGGGGTTTAGGGGTTTATAGTAGACCCCAAAAAGTTGGAAACCGGATTAAGGACAACTAGTGCTGGGATTCCCTATACATTACTCTTGGATTTCCAACTTTTCGGTGTACTGTAAAAAGGAATGTCTACGAAGGTCTCTGTGTTATCCTTGGCCAGCGAAGTCCCGAAACCAACCCTATACCGTTAATGGAACCAGTAGGCTTTAGGACCTCTCCTGGAGTCCCCTGGTGGTCAAGCATTTAGAAAATTTTCGAAAATCTCCCGCTGCGATCCACAGGTTTAGGCACGAGCCTCTGCGTCGATACCCTTTAATCAAGAAATTTACTTAGCTTATGCCATTTAGAGCTCATCATATGGTCGAAATCTTATTCTTCAATTAAGGGGTTTTGGGCCGTGAGCTGGTGGGCCCGGGGTTCAGGAAGTTTAGGGTTTGGGAGGTGGGTACGGCTAACAAATAAGGTAACTGCACGTCGAAGGAAATCAAATCCCAACTAAGGTACTGCCCAAGTAATTCAATCAGCCTAAATTCAGGGGACACCAAAAGCCGCTTTAGGGCAAGATCCGGGAGCGGGCGAGAATATTACTAAAATTTATGCCTACCCGGACATGGGCCTTCAATCGTTTATGATTCTCTCGACTGTTGGTCCCAAAAGCTTCTCCCCTAAACCCTAAATTCTAACCCTTAAACCCAACCCTAATACTAAACCCTAAACCCTAAACCCCTACACCCTGAACCCCTAAACCCCGAAGTAGCACAGCCGGCACGGTGAGATTTTCGCCGAAAACGCTGCGGTCGGTTGGGCTTTAGCACAGGCAACTTGCACTCCAGACACTGTCTTCGATTTAGGGATTAGGGGTTTAGGGGATCATACTTGGAGGATCATGGGACTTAGTAAGTAATGTTATAAGTACTTTATTTGGGTTATAAGTATAGTTACCCTATTCTAACCCTAGTTACTACTTCCCATGATCCTTTGAGTGACCATAGTTATAACCCATCTATAGACCCCTTCTAAAGAAACCCTTATAGACCCCTTTGAAGGAACCCTATTCCACAACAAAAGGCCCATGTGTAGAGGATTCTTTGCCGGTGCTGAGGGCACGGCTGCTCTTTAGTTGAAGAAAAGGCTTCGACTGACTAGACAAAGGCTGTAACAAAGAGCTTGATAATCCAGGGGGCCTAAATAATTACCAATTCTGTTTTGGGGGCTCCTTATTATGATTATAGTATAGAGGGCCTCAAAACCCTGTTCTAATTACTAAAGCCCCTAAATTAGCTTCCAGCTCATGTCGGAGGGATCTGAGTTTCAGAAACGACAAGTGCCGAACGGCAGCACATACCCCGAGAGCATCTATTGCGACGGGTCCTGCGCTCTGTTGCCTTAACTCCCTACATCTACACTCCGCCCCCACGCCTGAAAAAAGTAGCCAGGACGAAGCACATGCAAAACTAACCTCCATGGATCCTTCTGCCTATCTATCTATCGCTGCATATGTGTGCATACTTATGAGTGAATAAACTTGAATAAATACATGAACAAACCAATAAATCAGTAAAACAATAAATATAAGGTGTATATATATATATATATATGTATATATATACATGTGTGTACGTATGTTTCTCAATATGCATAATGCTGGCTTTCTGCAGTTTTGGGTGTTTCTACGAAGTCGTCTTAAAATCCGTGTCTCGTGTCCTTGAGCGCAGTGCTTTTTAAACCTGCGCAGCCCTTTTTGGCACTTTCTTGGAAAGTCCAGCACGTGCAACTACGCAGGGATGACATTGGCCCCCTGCAGCCAAGACAACAACGAAAAAGATCCTGAGATGGCAGCAATTAGCCCTCACAAAGCCCTGTGTACTAGCAGTTTCTTCCATGCTTTCGCCTGCGAACTTAAAACAAAGGCTGCCAGCCTCTCTTTCCTAAACAATGATCCAAGGGTAAAAGGAGGGACCCTTAAGAAGGACCCCTAGGTATATACCCTTAATTTGGCTATTATATATCCATTATATAGCCCATTATGTGGTAGGGGTCCCCACTAAGGGTCCCTCCTTGTCCTCTTTGAAATGACGGACAGCTTCAGCGCACACTGCGACTGATTGGCCGAAGCTAGCTACACTTGCAGCAGGGTTCCCCAGCAGTGGACCACCCAAACCCCAAACCCAAAAACGTGGAGACATAGCGAACTCTCCTAACCAGGGATCCCCATAATTGCGGGGAAGGGCGATTGCTCTTCAGTCTTCCGACCGGATGCACAGCAGAGACGTTCAAGTCTGGAAGCATGGAGTCTGGCTCTCAAGCCTAAATCCCAAGTCCTAGACTACGCTGCTTTGTTGGGCAGTCTCCCCGTTCTGTAAGTAGCTGTTGGAGTTGTTGAGGGCTGTGATTTGGTTCAGGGTTTAGGGTTTAGGGTGGGGTTCGGGGAGTGTGAACCCGTGGAGGTCATGCGGAATACAGCAGCATGAGAATTGAAAGCATTGCGAGGTCACTCAGCTCCTAGCCCCACAACCTGACCCCAATCAGGCATGAAACGGAAACCATGTGCAAAAACTTGCTCCGTTCATCATGCAGAACCGAGACTAGAGGGATTTAGGGCCATCAAAGGAATCGAGGGTTCGTGTGTTTACGGATTTACCAGCCTCTGGGTTGCTAAGTGAACCCAATAAGCCACAGAATCGAATGGTTAAACTTTCCGACTTCCTATTAAACTACAAGAACCCAAAGAGTTTAAAGGTGGGGTATTGGGGATCTAAGTTTATGGGCTTTGCAACTACGGGGTTACACATACCATAAAGTGAAGGATATAATCAACGCTAGTTGCAGTTGCCATAGTCCTTAAGCCTTCATTGGGTATTGGGGATATACGAGTTTGGGGGCTTAGCATCTCCAGTGGCTGGCAGGTCCATGCTTCTCCTCAGAAACATCCTAGGTTGGGCATTCGGTCACGTCAACGACCGCCTCAGATCTGGCAAGGTTTAGGGTTTAGGGTTCAGGGTTCAGGATTTAGGGTTTAGGGTAAAGGGTGTACTTGCGATTTGCTTCCTACACTGCTCACCCTTCGCGACTCTGCACATGTGCGTCGCAAGCAGGTCGAAGCACCGCAACTCTACCCTGCTCATTACATCCTACTTAAAGGGTCATGGGACTTAGTAACTAGGGTTAAAATGAGGGTAACTATACCTATAACCCAACTAAGGTACTTATAACCTTACTTACTAAGTCCCATGATCCTCCAAGTACTACCTACTGCTACCACCACCCACCACTACTAGTAACTCGTACATCTGGTACAGGCTGTCATCAACCGCGGGTTACTGCTCGGCTCAAGATCAGCGATGGTTGCGACAATGACAATGACGAGCAATCAGACTAACAGCTGCTGCAGCGATATATCATGCTGTCTTCCTGCTCGCATGCTCTATCCGATGCGCGCATCTTTCCGGTTCATCTTTTTTCAACTCAACGAGATAACTGGGAGTTTGCCGGTTGGGTGTCCCTAAGGTTTGAAGGTTTCGAGGTTCCGGGTGTGGGGTGGCGGCTTTAGGATTTACATATAGGATCCGGTGCATGACCAAGAATCACTACTACCCCTGGATGTGCCCTTGAAATGTCGAACCGGTACCCATTGTGCAGCAGGACCCATAGGAATTATTGGCGTTTCAGATCTACAACTTGGAAGAGCTTGGCGAGACATTCATTCCTCCAGCAAGTCGCCTGGCGAACCCTTCCGAAAACAAGGGCAATAACTGTCTAGTTTAAAGTCCTTTAACAACCCTCTGAAAACCTGAGAAACTAAAAGAAACCTTTACAAAGCCTCAAAACTGAACCGTGAACCCCAACCGCTAAAATCTAAACTCTAAACCCTCAACCTGGAAATCTGAACTCTGAACATTGAAATCCCAAATCTGCACTCTAAACCCTAAACTCTGAACTCTACACCCTAAGTCCTTAAACTCTAAACCCTATACTCCAAATCCCAAACTGCAAGCCCCAAGCCCCAAAGCCCGAAAGCCCCAAGCTTAAGACCCAGCCACAACAAGTGGGCTCGGACGGATCGATCGGCTCCATCTTCCGGGCTTCTGAAGACGCAGGGAAAAGGACTGAGCTTTGGTTGTTGTTAGGGCTTAGGGCTTAGGGGTTGGGGTTTGTTTGTTTTTAAGCACCTTTTTCCGCCTGCATGAAGCCTGCAGAAGGTCCCTAGGACCAGGCGACTTTGTGTCCCCTGTAAGCTCAAACCTGTGTGTCGAAGCCACCAGACACTGCGACATATTGCACCTCGATGAGTTCACGAACATTCGCACCGTACCTGGACTCAACCTCATCCAGGGAAATCTCTCCCTGTGCCCACATGCTGTAGATCTGTTCGTATTCGGGCATACTCAAAGAAGCGGCCTGGTAGTGGACGTTATCCATCCAGGGCGTTCCAGTGGCCCCTCAGCTCTCCCAACGTCAAGTCGAGGAGCTCTAGGGATTCGAGCTGCTTCTCGCTCAGCGTAACTCGAACCCGATTCCGCCATCTTGTCAAGTATGAGGCGAGGGCAGGCATCACGCCACCTTGTGGCGACGCATTCAAGGTCGCCGCCGCCTTAGCGGCGAGAAAGTTCTGGGCACCCGCCCCTGGCCATTTGGCGGTGGTGCCCAGCAACCGAATCGCTGCCCTCGGTTGCGTTGGGATCGTGAGGGCCTGCCCTTCTGTCCAGCCAATGATTGAGGAACAGAAGGTTGCTGGCTCCTCACCCTGCCTGAGGTCCAGCGCATTCAACGTTGCCACTGCATTGATGTAGCGCAATCCCAGGCTTGTCAGAAGGTCATCCAAGGCCTCCAGCTCCCCTGTGGCCGGCTCCGCGAAGTCCAGGGCATCGTCGCCCTCCGCCACAATCACAGGCACCTTCGTGGCTGGACGTACCCTTTTCCACGCCGCGCGGCGGCCTCCCACATTCACAGCAGCGTTCGTCAATGTTGCCTGCTCCACTCGGGTGTGTGGCATCCGTCACCACGCGACCCGTCGGGAATGAGGTGGCATGTGGAAGCGCAAAGGACCCTTGGATCTTGTCCCAATCCCCCTCCAGCCAACGCTTCTGCCACCTCTCCGCCATCTCCAGCAGTGGCCGCTGCCAGCTGGCGTCCCAGCCGGATGCGTCCGCCACAACAACCCGCCTCACTTCCTCCTCCCTGGCCAACTCACACAAATGCTCCGCACGCACCTGTGGTGATAGGCCCTTAACAGAGTTGGTGCACCCCCGCTGCCTGTGTTCCACGGGCTGCACGTATGGCCGCTCCATGGCAACCGCTCTTCCAATTGGGGCATGGAAGAGTCGCGCCGGCTTCTCTGGTGAGTGGGTCAGCTCATGTTTGATGCAGAGAGCGTAGTTCCAGTACGACCAGCGCTGGCCCCTTGGAACATTCCTGCCCTCCACATCGCTTACTGACTCCATTTGCCTCCGCACTGTTTTCTTGGCAGAGGTTTCCCACACATCCACCGGAGTGCACATCTTGATCCGGCCTGGCTGCCTCCCGGCACCACGGATCCGGCCATGCTCCAGTTCTGCACCAAACCAATGCATTTCCTCCTCCACTTCCTTCGCGAAGGTTCCTTCGCCAGCCAGGAATGCTGGATGCGTCCGCACCAATCGGGAAATCACCGATACCCACGTTGCAAAGGTCCTCCGATGACGCTCAACCGGAGGCGCATGAGGACGCATCTTCCTGGGAAGCCGGGACACTTCCGTGCTCCAATAGTGGAGGGCTGGCGTCGCCTCCTCCGCGTTTTCCACATCGCTTTCAATGCGGTCCAGCCCAGCCCCTTCCAACCAAGCTGGAGCCGCCCACACCTCTGCCCCCCTTCTCAGGCCCCACTTGCCTGTTGACACTCTCCACGGGGGCTTGTGGTTCTCCTCCCACTGCTTCCACCGCTCTGCGCAGCCTTGAATGGGCCTCGGCCCCTCCTGGTCCCCTGGTGGCAATTTCGCCTTGTGAGCCAGCCTGCCACCCCTGGCCAACTCACGCATCTTCCTCGCTAGCGACCACGCCGGAAGGCCGCTGTAACCAGCAGCCCCGACACTACCGCCCCTCCAAAGAAGGTAGCAGCGCGCCGGAACGCGCCCACAAAAGCAAGGCCCTCCTGGCCCCTGCTGCCGAGACCCCTGCAGACACGATACTGCTCGCCGGGCCTCCCAGCCGCTCTCCAATTCACTCCATTCTCTCGCAGGGCTGCTTCCAGCCTTCGCACATGGCTGCCCTGGACCAGTAGGGCCGTTGTCCTTTGCTCCTGCTCGAACGCCGTCAATGGAGCAGTCTCGAACGTTTCGCCTGCAGCGACCCGTTGCGTCAGGCATTCCACGTAGTCTCGGGCACACCGTTCCTGCTCGCGCCTCAGCGCGTCCCGAGCCTGCTCCTCGAACCGGTGGCTCTCCAGTATGCGCCCCACCGTCATATCTGGAGCACCAGTCAGGGTTAGCCCGCCGGCCATGGCTGCTCGCCATGTGCCTGCGGGCGTTGCTCGGCCGTCCAGGCGTCGATGGGCGTGTGCCTTGGGGTTGGGGTTTAGGGCTTAGGGTTTAGGGCTTAGGGTTTAGGGTTTAAGGGTTAGGGTTTAGGGCTTAAGGGTTAGGGCTTAGGGTTTAGGGGTTAGGGTTTAGGGCTTAGGGGCTAGGGTTTAGGGCTTAGGGTTTAGGGTTTAGGGGGCGGTTTGGGGTGTCTGTACCGCTTTCTGACACAAGCCTTGTTTTGAATGGGAAGTTTAAGGATTTAGGAGCATGGGTCTATGTTTGGGGCTTCGGGCTGCTTGAGGATCAAGTTGGGTTTGAGTCGAGTGTTCGCGTTCAAGCTGCATGGTTTTTTGAAGTTTTGTGTGGTCCAGAGGGTGCCTGAGGGTCCATGGGTAGTTATAAGTCAGGTTATAAGTCCCCTGATGTGGGTTATAACTATTCTTACCCGACTTATAACCCCACTTCTAACTACCCGAATCCCCAAACCCTATAGAACCCTTAAAGGAACCCTTAAAGGAACTCTAAACCCTTATAGGCTCGCTTACAACTGCCTATGAAACCTCCAAATGGAAGAGCCCATGAGCAGGTTTTGTGGGTTCATGGCGGCTAGCTCAATCGGTCTAAAGGTGCTCAGGATCCGCTGGTTGCTAAAGAAGCCTGCAGGATTAGACTACTTAAAGGATCCTGGGACTTAGTAACTAGGGTTATAATTAGGGTAACTATACTTCTAACCCCAATTAGTGTACTTATAACCTTACTTACTAAGTCCCACGATCCTCCATTATAGACCCCTTATAGATCCCTTTAAGGAACCCTATTATAGAACCCTATAGTACCCTAAAAAGGGCCCCTAAACCCTACTTACTAAGTCCCATGATCCTCCATTATAGAATCCGTATAGATCCCTTTAAGGATCCCTTTAAGGAGCCCCTCATTATAGACCCCTATAGTACCCTTAAAGGAACTACTAAGTCCCATGATCCTCCAAGTACCGGTATCTCTTCGAGCCTGAGGCCCTTTACCAGTATTATCGGCCCTAGGCCTTTGTTGCCCCCCACACAGCCGGATGGGTTTAGGGTTTAGGGTTTAGGGTTTAGGGTTTAGGGAGCACAGAAGTATGGTAAAGTAGTTGCTTAAACTCCTTCGGCACGGGGGCTTTGGAGGGCTTGATTGAAACATCTACGGAATGGTATTATCAATTCACTCAGGCCCTATGCGGGATTACGGCTTGGAGCTTACGATGTCGTATCTGGGCTTCATCAGGCCAGTCCTTTTTCAAATGTTCATCTCGTGCAACAAACTTTGAAGCTCTCAACGGCATCATGAAGAGAATCGAGTGAAGCGAACAAGCCCAAAAGACCGAAAACTCAGACATCCACGACACTCTCAAGCCTGCCGCACAGCCGAAAAACTACATACACGACTCTAGCTCGAAAGACCCTGCGGTGGCCGGATCGCAGGACAACAGACAAACCCAAACCCGTAATTATAGCAATTATTGTACTTAAAGACTTATAGCAATTATAGTAATTATAATACGTATCATACGTATAGTAGATATAGTGCGTATAGTAAGTATACTAATTATAGTAATTATAATACTCGTAAAAAATCAGAAGAAGAGCTCGCCTAGGCCTGGAACTCCCCCAGCGCCGACCAGGGTGAAGACGGCGACCTGGCCGCGTAGTTCTTCGGGGGTTCATAGGGTTTAGCGGTCTGGTGCCTTTGGGGTTTAGGGGGTTAGGGTTAGCTTTTTGTTTATCAGGGGGCTCTTTTCCATCCGCCCATGGAAATCCCTTATGGGGAAGGCATTAGTTAGAACTACTCTTGCAGCCCTCTCAGAACTCTGGCATTTAGGGTTTAGTGTTCATGGGGGAATGTAGGAACCTGACTAAGAAACCTTGGGCCTTTATTAGGGCTCCTTACATGAATCCTACTAGTTTGGGGTTGTAGGCCCTGGGGTTATAGGCCCAGGGTTTCGTAATCAGGTTCCTACAACTAGGGTTATAGTTAGGGCAACTATACTTATAACCCCAATTAAGGTACTTATAACCTTACTTACTAAGTCCCATGATCCTCCAAGTGGGCGTTCTTGCTGCGGTTGTTGGATACTTTCTTCCCGCTTGTGCGGTTTGGAGTGAAGGATTCTAGATGCCTTCGATTATGGTACTTATAGTACTTACAGTAACTATAGTCATTATCGTAATTATAGTAATTATAGAGTGCTTGATATATTTTGGGGCGCACTAGGAGTGTGCGGCGGCTCGTGTGAGATCTCCGGTGGGTGGAGGGACTTCAGAGAGTATGACCAGAACTTCATCTGCCTGGGTGCGGTTGAAGTTTCGGGTTCAGGGTTGCGGTTGGTCATGTATGGGACGTTCAGAGCAAAGGGGACTCCCAAATGGTCGGATGTTACTTCAAGGAACCCAACACAGATCGCCCTTCATGTGCGGAAACCCCACTATCGGATTCCTACGGTTTGGGACTCTACAAGCTGCGCAAGGCGATGGGAAATGTAGCATCAAGGATCCCCTACGAATCTCGGGATTATTGGTGCTGGTGGAAATCAGGGTCCATGAGAATCGAATGCTAGCTCCCAAACCCTCCCCAACAGCCTTTCGGGCCCTTTATGATGAGGTTTTGAGAAGAGAGGCCTTGCCGACCCTGAATGCCACATCCACAAAATCCACAAAACAGCGCCCCCCCCCCTTCCCCGAAACCTAAATTCGAATCCCTAAGCCAGACCCCACACCCTACTCCGCATGCCCGGGATGCGACCGAGGTGCCACTGCCGCCGCGAGCACTACGGAGAACACCAGGCCCAGGATCAACTGAGAGCTTTGGGGTTTCGGATTTTGATCGCGGCTGATGTGATTTTACAGGGCTTCATTTGACTGTTATGCTGGCTCTATGGTCTTTACAGCGAACTAAAACCGGGCTTTCGGGGCAGGATTCTGGTTGAAGCATAGGCTTGACCGTGCTGGAGCTGAGCCTAGGGTTCGAAGCTGTGAGGTTTCCAGTTACAGCTTAAGGCTTCGGCTTTGAGGGCAAGCCAATCCAAGTTTAATCCAACAACCTACTGTCATGCTGGTATAAAACTACAAGCAGAGTATTGATAATCCCAGCAATATGCATTTTTCACAACAGCCTAAGATTATGTAGCTCGAAAACAGCAACCTACAACCGCTAAACCCTATAAGCCCTTTTAGCCCTTCTCCACCATACAATCCCTCTAAACCTATAAACCCTCCAAGCCTTCTAAGCCTTCTACATAAACCCGTCTATACCCCTCAAAAGAATATTTCCCTTTAACCCTACACCCTCAACACTAAACCCTAAACCCCAAACCGTAAACCCCTACACATCAAAAAACTCCTACGTCCTAATTTTCAAGGCCCCTATATCGCCCTCAAACCCCAAACCGTTATACCCCTAAACCCCTCTAGATCCCTTAAAGGAGCCCTTGTGGTACCCTCTAAAGGAACCCTACAACCCCTCAAAACCCGCTGCTTTAGGAACCTGATTAAGAAACCTTGGGCCTTTATTTGGGTTCCATATATGCATCTAGTACTTTGGGGCTTCTTGGCCTAGGGTTTCTTAATCAGGTTCCTGCATTATTACAGTACCCTTATAGATCCCTTATAGTAACCCTTATAGACCCCTTTAAAGGAACCCTAAAGAAAGGCCCCGGGTTTCTTAATCAGGTTCCTACATTATTACAGTACCCTTATAGATTGCTTACAGGAACCCTTATAGACCCCTTTGAAGGAGCCCTTTTTAAGGCCCAGGTTTCTTAATCAGGTTCCTACATCATTATAGTTATAGTACCCTTATAGATCCCTTATAGTCGCCCTTATAGACCCCTTTAAAGGGACCCTAAAGAAAGGCCCCGGGTTTCTTAGTCAGGTTCCTACATTATTACAATATCCTTACAGATCCCGTATAGTAACCCTTATAGACCCCTTTGAAGGAGCCCTTTTTAAGGCCCCGGGTTTCTTAAATAGATCCCTTATAGTAACCCTAGTAGACCCCTTCATAAAGGAGACCCTTTTTAAGGCCCGGGATTCTTAACCAGGTTCCTACATCATTATAGTACCCTTATAGATCCCTTATAGCAACCCTTAAAGACCCCGTTAAAAAGGAGCCCTTTTTAAGGCCCCAGGTTTCTTAAATCAGGTTCCTACATGGGAGTTTCCGAAAATAGGGGCTCCTAATAGGATCCTTATTATAAGGACCCCACAGTAAGGTACCCTAATTTTCGGAAACTCCCACATCACAGCACGGCCCGGCCTTGCCCAGGTGCGTGGCGATGTTGGGCGAGGGGATCAGCTTCCCACTCTGCCAGACGCAGGCCCTGGGATCCGACCTCAGGGCTTGTAGGGTTCCTTAAAAGTAGGGCTAGGGTTTAGGGTTTAGGGGTTTAGGGTTTAGGGTTTAGGGGATTAGGGTTTAGGGGTTTAGGGTTTAGGGTTTAGGGTAGGGCTCCTTAAAAGTGTACTTGGAGGATCATGGGACTTAGTAAGTAAGGTTATAAGTACCTTAAGTGGGGTTATAAGTATAGTTACCCTCACTATAACCCTAGTTACTAAGTCCCATGATCCTTTAAGTAGACCCTAACAACCCCTCTTGTAATAGAACCCCTATAAATCCCTTTGAAGGAGCCCTTTAAGGAACCCTAGTTGCTGGAGGGCTTTAGGCGTAGGCGATTCTTTGGTGCGCAGGGGTTTTTAGGGCTTAGGATCCGGGATCCGACCTCGGGGCTTAGGGGGTTTCGGGTTCGTGAAAGGATGCCTTTTAAAGGGATCTATAGGGGATCTATGGGGTTGAGGGTTTTGGGGTTTCGCGGTTTAGCGTTTTGGGGTTCAGCTTTTGGGTTTTTGTTTTTAAAGTGCAGCGGCCTTTTCTGGTTACGCAGCGTCAGCCTGCCTCATCGAGGCTTGCACAAGAAAAAGCCCATCCCTCACTGAACATCATCTTCATGTAGCACACTGGTTTGGGGCTGGAACTCACTCTGTGCAGGAACGACTTGTTGCTTTTGGGGTTTAGGGTTTAGGGGTTTGGGGTTAGAAGGTTTTAGGGTTTAGGATTCAGGGCTTAAGGGTAGGAAGCTCTGGGGCTGAAAAATGTTGGTTATTAGGATACGCCTGGGGTTCTTATAGAATCCTTGTTGGGTTCCTGTCGGGCCGTGTAGAACTCTTTTGGTGTTCTTGTCGGATCCTGGTTGAGCTCTTCTTGGGGCCTTTTTATAGTTCCTCCCTCGTATACAGAGCTCTTCTACGATGCGTTAAGGTTCTGGGCTTTGTGTCTTTCGGGCGAAAGGGGATTAAGGTATTTTAGGCTTGGAGTTCGGGGCTGTAGGGTTTCAAGGCTTCCGAAAGGTTCACAGGGCCTTCATGTTTGTTGGGGTTCCAGGGTGTGAGGTTCAGGGCAGGGGCTTGGGATTCTGGCTTGGGGCAGGAAGCCCCTGGCAGGTTCAGGGCTAGCGGTGGCCGTGGGATGGTTATAGTTTCGGTGTTGTGGTGTCCATAGCGATACTTGCTGACTGCTGGAAATATGAGCTGCCCGTCATCGTCATCGTCATATCATGGTGGTGCTGGTGGTGATGCCACTCAAGCCTTCACTCTACAACTTACAGCAGTGGAGGGCCCAGGCTTGAGGGGACGATAATGTTTCAGACCGTTTGAACGTCTGGGGCATAGATTTGGGGCCGAGAGCCCCCCGTTGAAGCTGAAAGCAAGTCTCTGCTTGTTACGCCCCGGAACGAATTTTGCTTGCAGATCGATCTACAACTCCTGACCTCATAGAGGCGCCTGAGTCTAGAACAGGGTTCGTGTAAGCGTTTCGATCAGAGGTGCATATGGTTTTGTAGCTCTGGGTAAGGGGGCCTTAGTCATGTTTGAGAGGATGTAAAACCTAATCATATATAGGGGTTACAGGTGGAATATCTACTACTTACTTCAGTGAGTTCTGCAACTGCAGCCAGGCGTCTCGTTGTCATAGACGCAGAAGCATGCTGTCCGTTCAGGTTTAGGCTTTGTCGTTTCCCGTCCTGAGCCCATCAGACAACTAGCAGCACATTCTTCTGTACAAACTCGAGTTTGACCGTGTTGCACTCTGTTGGATGACGAAAGCAGCAGCTTCCCGTGACACGTCTTCGTGCTGGGTAGTCAAGTTCAGTCTATTCTGCTTCCCCTAATGACCCTAATGTTGGGCTCGGGGAGAAATTGCGGCACGGGTTGCCTGACATCGTGCATGCCAGGACATGTTGATTTTCGTGGCTAGCTTCAAGTGAACGGCTCCTGTATACACTTATTGGATTGCGTGATACTGCAGCCAACTATACAGCGCAATGGACCAGTCCTCCCGCCCAACCTAGCAAGTTGTAGAACAGGATGGCAGGGTATCCAGAACATACGGCAGTCAAAGTTGCACACTGTCGATGTAAAGGTAGCCGTTTATGACCACATCTCTCTTGCTACAACGTCACCACCACCGCCACCACACTGAAATCAGAAACGGCAGTGGCCAAAACGCCAACAGCCACAGTAGGAGTCGCAGTCATGGGAACAGAAGCTCGGAGAATTTGCCTGAAACCCTGAAACTCCAAACCCTGAAATCCCAAAGCGGTTTAGGGTCTAGGGTTTAGGGTTTAGCCTTGATAGTGCCCATTACACAATAGCTATAACAAGGAACCTCCAAAATCGTGTAGGTCATGATTTAGGCCCCCTATAGTACATCCTCACAATAGCCCTTATAGGAACGCCTAGAGACCCCTTTGAAAGGAACCCTTTCAGGGAACCCTTAACCCTAAACCCCTTAAACCCCTAAACCCAAGAGATCCCTTAGGAGCCCTTATAGTACCCTTTAAAGGAACCCTACTACAGTGCTTTGAAGCGCAAGCCCTGAGCCCAGGTCTTCAAGCGCGGGAGAAACCGAGCAGCTTCTCAGCCAAGTGACGAAGGAACAAGTCGTCCTCTGGCGACACCTGTGGGATAGGGGTTTAAGGTTTAGGGTTTAAGGGTGTAGGGTTTAGGGTTTAAGGGTTTTTGGGTTTAGGGTTTTGGTTTAGGGTTTAACTGCTAAAGCTGCTGTTAAGTGCTCTGGGTCTCACGGCTCGAAACGACCAAGGTCAGGGCCTTTACATCCTGAACGAAACTCTGGAGATGTCCATCAGGAAGGAACGGTTTTGATTTTACTACTTGGAGGTTCATGGGTAGTTATAAGTGGGGTTAGAAGCATAGTTATAACCCATATTAGGGGACTTATAACCCCACTTATAACTACCCACGAACCTCCAAGTAGGCCTTGAGCCCTATACCCCTTGTAGAATCCCTATAGATCCCTTTAAAGGGACCCTTAAAAGGAACCCTTATAACTATCCATGAACCTCCAAGTACAGAGCTTCCGGCAGTAGGGCCAGCGGCTAGGGTTGAGTCTTCTGCAAGGCGGTCGGACACTGGCCGAAACGAGTGGCAGGGGCCTTCGATCCCGGCGGAAACCCGGCGCACTTTAATGTTGAGGCCTCAATTTTTAGAATAGAATTTTGGTGCCCATGATAAGATAATCATAATAAGAAACCCCCAAGATAGTATAGGTAATTATTACGGCCCCTATAGTCTATAGTAGGCTTCCGAACCTTGTTCCACACGGCTTCTTTACAGGGTGGCTTACGGTTCAGGCTCTTCGAACTTCGGTCTGGTTGCCAGTGCCTAGAGCTCAGATTCCATTAGGGTTTAGGGTTCAGGGTTTAGGGTTTAGGGTTTAGGGTTTAGGGTTTAGGGTTTAGGGTTTAGGGTTTAGGGTTTAGGGTTTAGGGTTTAGGGTTTAGGCGATCATGTGAAACAAACACACCAGATAGAGCTACAAATGTAGCAAGAACAATGGCAAGAACGGCATTGCCACCAAATGCATATCGTGAGCTTAAGCAAAGTTACCACCTGTTCTTACACCAATGTTCTCGCAATGCTATACCGGCGTGGAGATCAGATGCTGCCCTCCATGAGTAAGTGCTGGCGTGGCACCCGGCTCGTGTTGCCAATGGTCGGCGCCGCCATCCCAAGGAAAGTTCGCGATGCTAAGCTAACGTCCTAAAACACTGGAGACCTAGGCTCTATGCCGAGGGCTTTTTGCAAAATAGAGAGTTGACCTCACGCCGAACTGTCACAGGCTCAAACTAGAGCCTGGAACCAAAACCAAGCAATCAAAGTAGTCACAATGGAAAGCAAGTTGAAAAGACTCACATTAAGTTTAACTCTCTGCTGTAAACATGGCAAGCACAAACCTTCATCCTTACGAACATGAGAGTGATCACAAGTACATGTCGGGGTAGGGCATCGTAAGCCGCACGGGATTCTGCAAGCAAGGTTTGATTTTTGAAAGGCTTGTTCTGTCAACAGAATGTCTGAAAAGCGGCGCAGGCAGAGACACGTCTGATGATACTTCCTACCGTGTTGACATCGACTGTGGTCCCACTTCCCGAAGAAGACGAAGCACCAGCAAGTAAGAAGAGTCTAAGAAGACAAGTAGAAGTGGATCATCAGAACCCGCGGCAGCTTGCCTATAACTGCTATAACTACTTTATCTCCAACACCTAAGCCCTTAAAACCGAGCTCTTAGAAACGTGAAGCCCTAACCCCCTAAACCCTAAACCCTTCAGAAACCCTCAAAGGAAGGAACCCTCAAAGGAAGGAACCCTCAAAGGAACCCTACCCCGAAACCGCGGAAAAAAAAAAAAAATAAAAAACAGAGCAGTGGATTCATGAGGACCCTTAGTGGGGTGGGGGGAGGGGGGTTAGGGACAGGTGATAACTTTGCTTCGGGTTTAGGGTTTAGGGTTTTGGGTCCCTAAGCCCTAAAAACGAAACCCTGAGGGCCCCTATGACGGATGCAAAGCCACTGAGGAGCTCACCCTGTCGACTGCCTCCCAGGGTTTTCCGGTGCTCGACTTGGAGGTTCATGGGTAGTTATAAGCGGGTTGTAAGGGTTTAGAGTTCCTTTATGGGTTTCTTTAAGGGTTCTATAGGGTTTGGGGATTAGGGTAGTTAGAAGTGGGGTTATAAGTAGGGTAACCATAATTATAACCCATATTAGGGGACTTATAACCTTACTTATAACTACCCATGGACCTTCAAGCACAGGAATTCAAAGGGTTTGACAAGGATAGTTGAAAATTAAGAATTTAAAGGTGTTGCAGGGATACTCGAAAATTAGGAATGTAAAGGGTTCTACAGGAATTCAAAACTTTTTCAGGTGATACTGCAGAAGGTCTGATACGGAGTTAAAGCCGCTGCACGGCTTTACGGGACTATTATAGGGCCCCCAAAAAGCACATAAGCAAAAATTAGGATAGGGATATCCCATATAAACCCCCTTATAATGGAGCCCAACAAGGTAGGGATATCCCTATAAAATGCTTATGCTTATGTGCTTTTTTGGTCCTTAATATTAAGATCCGGAGACCTGGTGCGCAAGGTGAGAAGGGAAGAACTGCAACCCCATCCACTGTACTCCTAATCTGGCTTGTTTTGTCTGCGGATAATCTTACCTTTGGTTAGTAGAAGGGTGGTAGTAATAGTAGTTATAATTGTACCCCATTCCTCCATTCCCTACTAACCAAAGGTAAGTAATCTGGCTTCCTTTGTCTGCGGATCCTGCAAGCAGACCAAGCCTTTAAAGCCCCAGATAAACTTCAACCTGAGTCTGGGGTTTAGGGTTTAGGGTTCAGGGTTTAGGATTAGGGGTGACTTTTAAACCAGGTCAGTCTGTGCGATTCCTGGAAAGTTTTCTGGAGTTGATTTGGGGTCCTTGGATGTTTCTACAGTGTTTTTTGGGGCTCCGAGGGTGTTATTGAAGGTCTTTTGGCTGGTTGGTAGGGTTCTGTACAACATTCCGATAACATTCCATAGGAGTTGTAGCATGGGGCTTGTCGTCGGGTTTCCATGGAGCTCGTCCTGCTCGGTTCTGAAGGTTTTTTGTGGTCTTTGGGCAGGGCTGTTTCAGGTTCCGAGAGTTTTGCAAGTTGAAACCCTAAACTACTAAAACGTAGCTCTTTGTTCATTGGCTGCAGATGGCTGCAGGCGATGTGGTGAGCTCCGGGGTCCTGGGCTTGTGGGGCGGAGAGTCACGGGCCTTAGTAAAGGGTGTTGGTGTACCTTGCATTGGGCCACTCTTCAAAACAACCTACAAAGCCCCTTGAAAGCCACAAAACTCACAAAACCCTATGGAAACCTGGCTGTTCGTATTAAGAGGCCTCTCATCATCAAGGACCTTCTCCATGTGCACCTGCGACTGCCTCAAGGGAGACTCTAGTGGGCTTTTGGAGGCCATGGAGCTGGTGTTTAAACCGTCCATAGAGTTGCCTCAACAATTAGAGTAGGATTCTTTGATTCTTTTGAGGATTCCTTTCAAAAAGGGTCTACAAGGGGAGCTATAAGAATGTAGATGCCTTGATATTTGGAATGATGTTTCGGCTTACATTATAGTGTAGCAAGAGGAAGGAACCCCACAGAATGCAAATGGTAATTCTTCAGGCACTACACCCATAGGGACCCTTAGGGGGGAGGTGGGTAGGGAACTACACTCCCTTAGACAACGCGTATATTAAGGCCCCCTACCCCCTCCCCCTACCCCCCCTAAGGGTCCCTATGATATATTAGGCTTAAGAAGCCTCCGGGCTGAATCAGCCGACACAAAAGCGAGCAGTCTGGACCAGAATGCAACGGCTTTCGGTGTATGTTGTATCATATGGGTGTTTCCGAAAACTAGGGGTACCTTATTTGGGGTCCTTATAATAAGGATCCTACTATTTTGGATACCATATTAGGAGCCCCTATTTTCGGAAACCCCCATATGTCTGTATTCGTATATATGCACATGTCTATCTATCTATCTACCTATCTATCTATGTGTGTGTTGTGAGGGAGTGAAAAAGCCGACCATCTCCTCCGACTCCCAATGCAAGCGTAAACCCTTCAACCCCAATCAACAACTCATGGACTCATGGGTGCTTCACACAGCAAGTGATGTTAAGAAAAAACTAAGTTGGCTTTGACTAATCGGGTCCTTTCAAGAAAGATGCTACGAGAAGGTAGCCGAACTTTCAGAAACTCCCAAATACGCAAAGTCACCCCCGTACCTGCAAAGTCCCTGCAACCCCCAAACCATGAAAGTCCCAACTCGTAAAACCAAACCCCTGAACAACGCGAATCCCCAGCGCCCGAGCAGATATGGTCTGGGGTTTAGGGTTCAGGCCTGAGGTATTCATGGGCTCGCTGCTGGCACTCCTGGAACTGGGTGAAGTAGGGCTCTGGCTTTGGACTTGACATTTTTGGTTTGAGGGTTTAGGATTTAGGGTTTCATTTGAGGTGATGGTTCAGGGTTTAACAGTTACGGGCGAAATCGTCGATCGAAGCACAGAGAAGTCTTTAGGGGTTTAGGCTGTGGATGATATTTCGGATCTCCGCTAATATGAGGGGCTTTCATGATTGGAAGGGTTTTGGGGCTATGTTGACTCTTGTAAAGGCTAAGCAGAAACAACGGTAGCAACTGTTCCGGCCCCAAAATTACATTTTCAGTGCAGAGGCTTAGAGCCTCGGAGATCTTGCTGGGCAAGGAAGCACCTCAAGCTTCGGATGCCCACTTCGTCGCCGATGTACCCCAAAACTACACCCGGCAGGGTGTGGGGTTTGGGGCTTGGGGTTGAGGTTTGAGGCTTTTGGGTGTAGGATTTAGGGTTTCTCAAGTCCCGAAACGGCAGAAGCGGCCCCGAATACCCTGAAGCCTGTAGGAGCAAGCACGTTCTATTGATGATAAAAATCCTGCATTACCTTAATGACACTAGACTAGTGGAATTATGGTCTATTCCTTATGATGGGTAATGCAGGACTTATATCATCAGCGGTATCATGGGGATACTCTTCCTTTAACTTTGCTGACAGCCTCAACGGCAAATACATACAAAGCCACACCCTACGTGCTTGTAATTCCATAAACCGTGGTTTAGGGTTTCGGGTTCGGGGTTAAGGGTTTAGGGCTTGGTACTGGCACATGAAGCCTAACTAACCACCAAACCCGGAAGCTAAAACCAAGAAGTTGGGAGATCCGTCCTGTGCGCAGATGTCCAGGTGGCCACCTGGGCTACACTGCGGTTCTTCAAGGGTTTAGGGTTTTGGGTTTAGGGTTCTATCCGGGTTTAGGGTTCTATCACGGTTTAGGGTTTACGGTGTAGACATAGGTAAGCTGAACGCAGTGTTTTGCAGACATGCCCACCCCAAGACCACCCATACACTACTCACAGCAAGCCAAACCGGAGCCAGCCGAAATCCAAGCCAACACTATCAAACAAAGTGGATGTCGCAGATATGCATGTGTCAAGTAGCAATTTAGCGTTCACCGGAGTCGCTTCAAGTCCTGTCGGATTGGCGTGGCGCAAACCGTGTCCAAGCAACATTTGGGGCTTGCGCGGGGTTGCGTTCTGGGCCGAAGGGCCCTGTCATTAATATTTCGATCTGCGGAGCGTCTCCTGGTCAACCTGGAAACTATTCAAGCACTACCTGGACTGAAGCCGCGTGGCCCCGGCCGCATCGTCACAAATGACAAGGATACCACCCCAGGGAACTTCTTGTGAGGGTTTGAGGGCGGGTCCCCAAAACGACGAGGATACATCCGCTTCTTGTGCGGGTTTGGTCTGTTCGCCCAAAACGACAAGGATACCGCAGGGAGCCTCTTGTGAGGGTGTAAATCGTGAAAATGATGGAGACCGCCCCAAGTCGTGAATGGCTGGGGAAGCCGCCTCAAGTCGTGAAGGGCTGTGGGCCCAGAGCCCTTGTCCAGTTGGAGACCGCCCCAAGTCAGTTGAAAAGCCGCCTCAAGTCGTGAAGGGAAGTGAAGGCCTGGTGGCCCCGAACCCGTCGTGAAGGGTTGGGGGCCCCCAACCCTTGTCCAGTTGGAGACCGCCCCAAGTCGTGAAGGATGCAACCCCCGCCGTGCAAAGCCAAAATCCTAGGGTTTATAGGGTTATCAGATATCAAATATACATTAGAGTTTAGCTCGGCGA